CCTCTGAGTCAGTGTGTAACGAGGACTATTTGCACAGCTGAGGCGTGTAACGAGGACTAACAACACTCCTGAAGTGTGGAACATTGAATATTGGCTCCTCTGAGTCAGTGTGTAACGAGGACTATTTGCACAGCTGAGGCGTGTAACGAGGACTAACAACACCCCTGAAGTGTGAAACATTGAATATTGGCTCGTCTGATTTTGTGTGTAACTATGGTTACTAGCGCCATTGCCCTCCCTTTTTTTGGCTACTGATACCGTTGCATAACATGGACTGTTGGCATCGCTTACTCATGTAACAATAACTAAGAACAGTTTAAAAAATATTACATGATTCAAGCTTGTTTTATGTGGGTGCAAGAAAGACCATTTCCACTTTTAAAAATACATTCACGAATATTTGACATCAACTCTTCAATTTTATCATATATACAACCGATTTACTAATATTTGTAAATTAAGAATTTTTGTCCAGTTAAAAGCTCAAAACAGACATCAAAATTTCCTAATATTCTTTTGATGTCACTTAAACGTGGATGTATCGACGTAAGAAGAAAACTTACAGGCTGAAGGACCTCATTAAAATATACGGTTTAATTAACCCTTACATTTTCCAGCTCCTTTGTTTTGTTTTTATAGAAAAGTTTTACGATTTATTGAAATGGATGACTCAGAGCATTCAAGCGAATCATTTGAGTTTGTGTTTTGCTCTTTCAAAAGCCATAGGAAGTCTTCTAAAACAACTGATTAACTTGCACGAGCTCCAAAAACGGAATTCCGTTATAGTAAACCGTTTCTATATGATATAAAATATGGTGCTTGAAACATATCCTAAACCAACAAACATAAATTATGTATTTCTGTTTCACTCTGTTGCTAATGGTGAACTTTTAAATGATACATAAAATATTTTCGTAATCTTTTTTTTCTGGTTAAATAAACATCTTTAAGAAGTAGTATGGCTAATCATTGAAAACATATTAAAAAAAACTGCTGAAATTAACATTAAAATTTGACCAAACTTAATGACTCCATCTTAAAGCGCTTTTGTGTGTGTGTATATATATACATGTATGTTTAGAAACATTTGGTGTTTACATTTTTACTTACTGCATCATAGTCAGATATAACCTCATTCAGAAATCGTAGACATTCCAATCCCTGGTTGTTGACAGATTCTTCTGTGTAAAAGTCCGAGAAATTAGGCATAGCAGCAAACAACACTCCTACTGCATTGTAACTCTTGCTATATAACTCCTGAAAAAAAAAAAGTCACGTTTCGCCCTGTATAGCAGCTTGTTATAAAGTTAAATTACAGTGTAGAACCTTTAAGTAATGATAATAACTTCCGATCAGATTAGGCTATGTACTTAAAATCAAAGTAAAAAAATTAACCTAGCCACTATAATTAATTAAATATAATTTTCTTATATTTCTACTTATAAAGATTATAATGCATTGTTTCGTCAGTTGGGTACCCTCACTGTCAACGATATTTTCGGCCGTAAACCCAATAATATTTTACGAGGTTCGGCCAGCTTAGGAGATTAAGGTTAGTCTTAAATGCATAAACTTTGCCAACAATCTTTATAATGAAAGTATAGTACCAAAAATGTAAGTTAAAAATAATAAAACTAGATATATTAAACATTCCAACCCAAATTACTAGCAAAAGTATCTACAAAGAGAGAACAGAACATATCTTGCGTACGGCACATAAAAAAGAAAAAAAAAGAAGACTGTTTCAAATATCCGTATCGACTTTGTGACCTCTCATACAAAACTGAAGTTTAAAGTTGGATATTTTTAGAACGTTATCTAAAAATGACATTATTACATATCCTTGGGCCTAAATTTCTTTTCGTTGTTGGTTATACACATTCTCTTAGAAACATCTTTCATTTCGTTATTCGTTTAGACGTAAAAAGCTATGTGTATAGACGAAAGCACATGAAACAAACCACCCTTTTATGTGTTCCGTGAGGGGGGCATATTTTATTCTTTTTTTCTATGAATGTGTTTTTAGTATCTAAACCATTCTTTGACAAAAGTTTGTGTCTTTTGTAATCATGCGCGAATATCCCTTCCCCTTCAAAAAAAAGAAAAAAAAAGGAGTATACTCCAACCTGCAAATCGACTCAAGCTCTAGAATCAAACCTTTAACGTCTATAACATGTACCTTAGAATCCCGTAAAATACTTTCTCCTGTCAAGGCCTAGTGATTAGGGGTGCTGGATTCGCAATCTACGGGTCCCGAGTTCGAATACTATCACTGAACATTCTCGCTCTTTCACCCGTGGTGGCGTTATAATATGATGGTCAACCTTACTTTTCGTTGGTAAAAAGAGTAGCTCAAGAGTTGACTGTAGGTGGTGTTGAATAGCTGTCTTCCCTCTAGTCTAGGCCCGGCATGGCCAGGTGGTTAGGGCGCTCGACTCGTAATCTGTGGGTCGCGGGTTCGAATCCCCATCACACCAAACATGCTCGCCCTTTCAGCCGTGGGAGCGTTATAATGTTATGGTCAATCCCACTATTCCTTGGTAAAAGAGTAGCCCAAGAGCTGGCGGTGGGTGGTGATGACAAGCTGCCTTCCCTCTAGTCTTACACTGCTAAATTAGGGACGGCTAGCGCGGATAGCCCTCGTGTAGTTTTGCGCGAAATTCATAACAAACAAGCAAACAAACCCTCTAGTGTATCACTGCTAAATTAGGGATAGATAGTGCAGAAAGCCCTCGTGTAGTTTTACGCCAAATTCAAAAACAAGCTCTTTTGTCAAACATAGTATATGAAGTAGTAACGTTAGTAAAAATTTGACACCAATGAATCGAAAAAGGTTTTGAACATTTTTTTCAAGTATACATTTTTTTTAACTATAAACAACATTTCTACTATATTTTCAAATATATTCCTCTATTTGGCTACTGTTGTGAATTTCGTATTTGTTGAAAATTCACTTCCCTAGGTGTTAAAAAAAAAGAGATTTTTTTATGTAATATTTTCATTTTAAAAGCACATAATACTTACTTTATACATTAATTGAAATTTGAGTGTACCTTTAACAAAAAAACCCAGTGGCACAGCGGCATGTCTGCGGACTTACAACGCTAGAAATCGGGTTTCGATACCCGTAGTGGGCAGAGCACAGATAGCCTATTGTATAGCTTTGCGCACAAATTAAAACAAACGTTTTGGTTGAATGAAACACCATTCTTGTTGATAAATGGTCTTGTAAGGAGGAGTATTATTTGTTAGTTATTAAAGGACATTGTATACTAGTACGAAATTATTATATGATAGATATATATTGGAAGACTTGATGTTTATTGGAATCTACATTTATGAGTCAACGTTTTTTTGTTTTCAAATCCATCACCATTCACAACTCAATACTTTTTTATTTCGTTATATTTTTACAAAAGGATAGTAAAACAAAGAAAAGTATTTAAATTTAAGTAGCGGCGTTTTCAGATTTAAAATTGAATAAAACAACAACGTACACTTCTGTTTCACAAAAGTGTATTAAATCAACGAACTAAACAGAAGAATGCAATTATTAGTTCATATTTCAACCACTAGGGTAGTTTTGTTATTTCAGAGCAAAGAGCCACTTTGGGGTGTCTGTTGTGTCTATCGTCGGGAATCGAACCTCGGACTTTAGCGTTGTAAGTCCGTCAATTTACCCGCCAGGGGACACACAAGGGTATTTATGATTTTGTTTGTTTGTTTGTTTTAGCGCAAAGCTACTCAACAGACTACCTGCATTTTGTCCACCACGGGGTAGAGGGCACGGGATGTTAGCTTTGTAGGTTCGCAAACATACTCTTGACCCAGTGGGGGGCACTTAAAATATTTGTCTTCCTTAAATGATAAAATGTTTGGTAAAAAAACAAACAAATGTTGATAAACTAAAACTATATGATTTTTCATTTGAATGTTTACGTATCAGGAAATTTATGAAATAAATGATGATAAACTTTTTCCTGGTTTATATTCTAAACCTTAAATACCCTAAGTATCACGTACCAGCATTATTATTATTTTCATACACTACGGAAGTGAGTTTTTGTTAATTTTTTTAAGGATAGGGGTCAGCAAAGTTTCCAGACGCAAGATGGCGAAATTATTCTTCACGCACTCTACAAGTTTTTTGGTGGTTTCGTATTTATTAGCTTTTGTTAAATACTAAATTCAAGAACCAGTAATTTCTATTATCTATTGTCGTACTTATTTAATTAAAATAATTTTTCCTCTTTGAAAGATGGACGTTAACAAACCTCGTCATTTTTTCTTCGTCCTAGAAAATGTTTTGCAACATGAGGAGGAAGAATATTGTACACAAGAGCTTCGTTTTTTCTGCGCATGTCTGCAACTTTTTCTTTCTGTTCTTCAACTGCCTTCTTCCATATGAAAAGTCGTCGGGAGGTAAGCTCCAACTGTAATGAGCACCAAGTAACGATTTGGGGTAAAAATATAAGTTTTGTTCCAAAATATTAACTATAAGTGAAAAAATCAGAAATATTTTTCTTTAATCTTAACGTATTTTCCTGTGATAATACGTAAAAAATCAGATAGTAGACAACAACTAATTAGGCCTTTCAGCAACGAATAGGTGAATTTGAAGATATTCTCTGATCATTACATGATTTTCCCTGGCTAATTGTTTGTTTTGTATCGCCATCTATCGACCGTTACTTGAAATAAGTTTTCGGTCCACATGACGTACGAGTTCTCACTTATTTCATAATAGTTAAATACTGATGCAAGTATTTCAATGACTTGAAAATCTCATCTAAATCATTTACTTGAGTATTTGTTTGTTGGTTCCCTTTTTTTTTGGCAGAAAGCTACACAATGGGCCATTTGTAATCTCTCTACCGCGGGGAATTAAACCCCGGATTTTAGCGTTGTAAATCCTTAAACTAACGAGTGACATACGGGGACTTTACTTGAGTAATGATATGAATATATTAGTATAGGAATATAGTAGAGTAGGGAGAATTATTCAAACTATACTACACCAATCTTTCCAGAGGTAAGGGTAGACACGAACAAAATGTCTAGGTTGTTCACAGTACTGAACGTTCTTTTCATGCAGACACATTCTTACCAATAAAAAAAATATTCGATACTTATTTGCGTTTAACCAGTGAATATAGTAAAATATCACGCTGCATTTAATTATAACCACTGTGATAACAAATCAACAAAAAACACGGTTACCATGATAACAAATCATCTAGATATACAATCATCACGATAACAGATGAACAATCATAAACATCACAATAAAAAAATTAACAAAAGTCATAAACACCACAATAAAAATTAACAAAAGTCATAAACATCACGATAAAAGATGAACAGTCATAAAAATCTCAATAAAAAAATGAACAAAAGTCATTAAACATCATTATAGGAATGAACAAATGTCATAAACATTACGATAACAGATGAAAAAAATCATAAAAATTCACAATAAAAGATGAAGAAAAATCAAAAACGTCATGATAACTGATAAACAAAAGTCATAACATCATGATAAAAGATGAACAAAAGGATTAACAGCAGGATAAAAGATGAACAACAGTCATAATACCAGGATAAAAGATGAACAACAGTCATAATACCAGGATAAAAGATGAACAAAAGGATTAACAGCAGGATAAAATATGAACAACAGTCATAATACCAGGATAAAAGATGAATAACAGTCATAATACCAGGATAAAAGATGAACAAAAGGATTAACAGCAGGATAAAAGATCCTCTTGATTAAAAAGTTTTACATAACGGTTATTTAATCGTTAAAAATCTTATACTAGTAAGTTACGTTCAATAGTTTGAACTCTTTGAAACTTTGTTATAAGAACTTCTATAGAACAATTGCTAAACAGAGCCAGATGCTGTTAAATGGTATCAGAACTTATCACCAAAACGTCTCTGTAGGCTCAACTAGTTAGTTGAATGGTCTCAAGAGAAGTATCGAGGATTTGCTGACTTCTATATATATTACGTTGGCTGAATGTAGCGAGATATCAGTTACGTGTTGGCTGAATGTAGCGAGATATCAGTTACGTGGATGTAGAAAGCCTTTTTTTTTATTCCCGTGTGTGGTTCGTATTCCATTATTTTATCTCTATTCCATTTCACTGTATGATCGTTGCTTTGATGGCACCAAGCCAAATAATGTGACCAACTGTAAATCCAAACAACAACTATATTCACAATTTTTATATATTTATCTAGGTCGAACATATTCAAATTTAAACATCCCCCTCCTTTATGATCATAGAAGTAATTTTCACTGCCATTTTTTAACATAGTACTACAGAATAATTTTGTTTATAGCATTTAACAGCAATTAGCTGTAGGATCAACTAGTTAGATGAATGTTTTCACGAACGTTATCGAGGTTTTGTTACGTTGGCTCGGTGTGGTGTGTTATTAGGTAATCAGATATTAATGTAGATGTTAGTAATACATGTCAATAAAAAGAGAAATCTCATATTTACAATAATTGTATCTCAAAAACTATTTGTTCTAGGGGAACTCAATTTCACCAATGAAAAGTTTCGGCAAAGCGTAATGTATGCATTTGAAACTTGTCATTTTGCTGTCATTTCTAACGAGCATATCAAGCATGCCGTTAAAATCAAGTTGCTACAAGTATCTGAACAGTGCTCACCGATCCCCACAATATCCTGCCCACACCCAGTTTCATCATCACATTATTAAGATTTTATTGTTTAAAAAAGACAAAAAAAAAAAGCAATGCTTATTTGTAAGAAAAGTTATGTACACTATAACGCTAAAAACCAGGTTTCGCTACCCGTTATGGGCACATCACAGACAACCCATTGTGTAGCTTTATGCTTTACAATAACAAAATTGAAATTAATGCTACTAAAATAAAAAGGAGAATTAAATGGTATAGATATTTTAATTAAATGGTATAGAGGATATTTTAATTAAATGATACAGAGATATTTTAATTAAATGGTACAGAGGATATTCTAATTAAATGGTATAGAGGATATTTTATCGCGGTACATTCCAAAATTACTTAAGATATTTAAAAAAAATATTATTATTTCTTTGTATGTAACAAAATAAAAATTTAACTATATGACTTCCACTGAAATAATGTATCCACAGCCACCTATGAACGGTATTATAATAATGCTTAATGTTTATTTTGCTTTGTTTTGTAAATCTGACCAGAGAAAATAACTTGTAGTTTTTAAAATAAACTAATTTTAGTATCAACTCCTTTTGTTTTGCTGAGCCTAATATTCTCTAACATTCATGATCATTAGATAAATTCATTTTGTACACCTTCAAACTATGAGTAGAGAAGATAAAGAAATAATAATGAACAATAAGAATCCACTTTGAGGAGCTTTGAAATACATTTGTCATTGTAAATGTACGTAGAATCCACTTTGTGGAACTATGAAGTACAATTTTCCTTGTAAATGTACGTAGAATCCACTTTGTGGAACTATGAAGTACAATTTTCCTTGTAAGTGCACGTAAAATCAACTTTGAGGAGCTTTGAAGTACATTTGTCCTTGTAAATGTACGTAGAATCCACTTTGAGGAGCTTTGAAGTACATTTGTCCTTGTAAATGTATGTAAAATCCACTTTGAGGAACTTTGAAGTCTATTTGTCCTTGTAAATGTACGTAGAATCCACTTTGAGAAGTTTTGAAGTACATTTGTTCATGTAAATGTATACAGAATCCATTTTGAGGAACTTTGAAGTCCATTTGTCCTTGTAAATGTACGTAGAATCCACTTTGAGGAACTTTGAAGTTCATTTGTCCTTGTAAATGTACGTAGAATCCACTTTGAGAAGCTTTGAAGTACATTTGTTCATGTAAATGTATACAGAATCCATTTTGAAGAACTTTGAAGTCCATTTGTTCTTGTAAATGTACGTAGAAACCACTTTGAGGAGCTTTGAAGTACATTTGTTCATGTAAATGTATACAGAATCCACTTAGGGGAACATTGACATATATTTGTCCACTACACGCTATGTTTGACAAAGTGAGAAACACTTGTATTTCAGTAGTTAATGAGCTAGTTTTGATGAGAATCTCAAGAAGATTCTGATCGCTAACAACTGTAATATTGATTCGTAGTTTTCTAAACTAGATATTATAAACGGGTTGGATCTACAATTCGTGAACACTCAGTTTCAGTACATGTGGGGTTGAAAAGCTAGGAGTTTTCAAGAGAACATTCTTCTTTTAATGATAGATTTGATAAAAAAAAAGCCCAAATTTCAAGCGCTTTCGAATAGGAATAGTCAACTATTCGAAGTTTTTTTTTTAATTCATTGCACCTTTTGTGTGTAATCCTGTCTGCTAACTCTTTTATCAGAACTTCTAATAATTAAATATATTTAAAACTATATGTCGTCCTAATAATGTTTATCTATTGGATATATTTTACGAAACCTAGATTTGGTTTAAGCTAAAAAGTAGTTTTTTGTAACAGGGTTGCGACTTACAGAAAGCCAGAAATTCATCCCAGGTGACGAGTTTTAGTACCGAATGCATGGTCTCCTCGGCAATAACGTGTGGCAGGCAAAAGATAGACCCTAAATGTTTTTTCGAATATTTCTGTTTTCAAATCTATATTAGAATAATTAACAGCCGGGATCAAACATGACTTTTATCACATTTGTATAACTTTTAATAAATGATAAAATAAAGGTAAATACACCAAAAAGAGAGATGGACACAAAACTTTCTAATTTTTATGCGACCACCAATCATCATTTTCAATGACCTTATAACAATGTTTGAAACCTCGAGGTCGGGGCCCGTCATGGCCAGGTGGTTAAGGTGTTCGACTCGCAATCTGAGGGTCGCGGGTTCGAATCCCCGTCACACCAAACATGCTCGCCCTTTCAGCCGTGGGGTCATTATAATGTGACAGTCAATCCCACTATTCGTTGGTAAAAGAGTAGCCCAAGAGTTGGCAGTGGGTGGTGATGACTAGCTGCCTTCCCTCTAGTCTTACACTGCTAAATTAGGGACGGCTAGCACAGATAGCCCTCGTGTAGCTTTGCGCGAAATTCAAAACAAACAAACCTCGAGGTCGTGTACACACAAAATAAAGTAATGGCTGCCAAATTCCAAACATTATTAAACAGGTCCTGGAAAATGATGACCCGTGGTCATTTAGACGAAGAGTAGTTTTGTGTTTTTCTCTTTCCCTGGAGTATTGACCTGCATATTATCAGTTATTAAGAACATCGAACGTCCTTACATTCTTGTCCGACGTAATAAGTTTTTTTACTTCATAAGCTTAAGCGATTTACACCATAAATCCCGGTTAGCTCTCAGCTGGTCATACCCGTCAGTTAATATTGTTATTTACAGCCAATAATACTTTGTTGCTGGAGTAAAAGCTTAAATGTTACTTTTATTATGACTAATATTTTGAAAAGCCGTATTTCGTTATCTTAATTTGATAAACACAAAGCATTATGACTCCAGTTTAATTTCACGTACGAAGATAAAACTGTTCCATTGTAAATGTGAATGTTAGTAGGGGTGATAAGAAACTGAGGAGTTTTTAATATATGACGTACGTAGATATTAAGAGACGATAATATTATAACATAAACCAGAAAGAAAGTCAATTCTTAGTCGCTGAACACAAACGCTATTTACAACGTGGATAATCTGTTAATCCCTTAGACTCCTAATGAAATTACTCACTCTCTCGGGTTCTTTATCTATCTCTTTCTATACAAAAACCGTGTACATTACCTGCCTATTGACTGTAATGGCAGCAGCTGAGATGGTGATCATGACGACGGAAAGGTATACGCGGTGTCCGATTGGTTGCCTAGAAATAAATGCGTTATGTGTTTTTTAGTGGGCACATAAATGTTAGTAAGATGTAGAACTTATTCAGAATGTTTTGTAACAGTTTAACATTAAGAAATATTAAATTAGTACTAAATCCAGTATTGAGAACAAATTAAATATGTCTTCTTTTTTTTAACCATTCAAGTTATAAATTAGCAAATTTTGTGTAAGACGACGGAAAATTTATATTTTATTTACTTTAAAATAATCTGAATTGTAAATAAATTTAAAATGTTTCATTCTTATTGCCAAGAAGACAGATAATAATATGCACAAATATTAATTAATTCTGAGCTTTTGGTTCTTACCAAGATATAATGTTGACTGTAATGATTTTAATGACAAACATATTTTTCAGAGTATAATATAACATGACATCTTAATAACAAAAATATGGCTAAAATAAATCTTTGTTTCTCATATGAGATATAACAACTCGGATTTATAAAATAAAATGTGGCCCTAAGCAAATCACAATCCTGACGTATGACATGTTATCTTTAATAATATATATGTCCAAATGCAAACTTTATAGGTCAAACCATTAATATATATATAACGTGTCATAAAAATCAATCATATGCTAAGCTTCAAGCTGCATTCAAACGTCGCTGTTATTTTACTAAGTTGTTAAGTCAGATCAGTAGCTACGTTATAAAATTCGTACGTTTTCGAAACACGAGTGAAACGATCTGTAAAACCAAATCGGGTGTGGCATGGCCTGATGGTTAAGGCGTTCGACTAGCAAGCTGCAGACCGCGGGAGCGGAACCCATCACCGAATATTCTCGACCTTTCAGCTGTGGGTGCGTTGTAATGTGACGGCTAACCTCAGTATTCGTTGGTAAAGCGTAGCACAAGAGCTGGCGGCGGGTGGTGTTGACTAGCTACATTTTCTGTAGTATTACACTGCTAAATTAGGGACGGCTAGCGCAGATAGCCCTCGTGTAGCTTTTCGCGAAATTAAACAAACAAGCAAAGCAAAGCAAAACCAGATCTCACTGAGGCATTTTATTAAAAAAACAACGTGTATTGATAGTGACGAACAATATGTGGCTGTTAAAACAAAGTGTATTGATAGTGACGAACAATATGTGGCTGTTATAACAAAGTGTATTGATAGTGACGAACAATATGTGGCTGTTATAACAGAGTGTATTGATATTGAAGAACAACATGTGGCTGTTATAACAAAGTGTATTGATAGTGAAGAACAATATGTGGCTGTTATAACAAAGTGTATTGATAGTGACGAACAATATGTGGCTGTTATAACAAAGTGTATTGATAGTGACGAACAATATGTGGCTGTTATAACAAAGTGTATTGATAGTGACGAACAATATGTGGCTGTTATAACAAAGTGTATTGATAGTGATGAACAATATGTGGCTGTTAAAACAACGTGTATTGATAGTGAAGAACAACATGTGGCTGTTATAACAAAGTGTATTGATAGTGACGAACAATATGTGGCTGTTAAAACAAAGTGTATTGATAGTGAAGAACAACATGTGGCTGTTAAAACAAAGTGTATTGATAGTGAAGAACAACATGTGGCTGTTAAAACAAAGTGTATTGATAGTGAAGAACAATATGTGGCTGTTATAACAAAGTGTATTGATAGTGAAGAACAACATGTGGCTGTTAAAACAAAGTGTATTGATAGTGAAGAACAACATGTGGCTGTTAAAACAAAGTGTATTGATAGTGAAGAACAACATGTGGCTGTTATAACAAAGTGTATTGATAGTGAAGAACAATATGTGGCTGTTAAAACAAAGTGTTTTGATAGTGACGAACAATATGTGGCTGTTAAAACAAAGTGTATTGATAGTGAAGAACAACATGTGGCTTCAAATAAATGGTGAATACTTTTCATTCTTGAAGACAGGTTGCTTTAATCTGTGCGACTAAAAACTTTTTACCCCCTTTTTCTATGAATCTTAGTTCTGCAAATATCTTCAGAACCTTTGTAAATTTTGTTCTTTTATACAAAGGATCCATGTGAAAATTGATGTGTTTGTCATGTTTGTGTTATTCTTTAACAAGTATTGTGATACGCTAGAGCACACACACACATACACACCAGTTTTATATATTATTTTTAACCAATGAGTTACATTTTTCAAAGACATACACGTCCAGAAAGAAATGGGATATTATTAAATAAGGTCAATTACACCAGTTTACAAACAAAAAATTTTCATTAGTGGTTTTAAAATATGAGCAGCCGGAAATAACCTGTCAACAGGTGTAGTATTATGAATACAATTGTGTACAGCTGCTTTAAAGACATTAATTGGACGAAAGAGTTCTCCTTGCAGACCGTTTTCGAGAGGACCAAAAAGATGGAAGTCACAAGATATTGGGTCAAGACTACGATCCGAATCAGAAGTATTCTTCGTGTGAAGTTCTCAAAATCGGGTTTCGATACCCGTGGTTGTCACAGCACGAACAGCTCACTGTGTAGCTTTTAACAACATGAAACATATGTGAAAAGACTTTCCCTGTTTCCTCGCCTTCTATGGCATCCAAATATGTTGTTAATTGATATCAAATGTTTTATTCCAGTAATAATGATTACACGTAGTAGTAATTACAGTAAAAAATCAACCATAAAAACTCAGAGTAGATTATATACAAGTAATAAAAAAAAGCGTTTTCGAAAAAAAAATAGTGCTTAAGAAACTTATGATAACACGAGCAACAGCAACGTTCACTCGTGTTTAGCAGTACTAAGCACAAACAAGAGGGAATCCTCAATATCCGCGGCAATTGAAATTCTTTTAGGCAGGATTAGAGTAAATTAATCTATGAGACCTTGGTCATGGTCAAATAAATCAATCGAAAGGGTTTGACTTCCTGAGTACAAAACTGTAACTAGAGTTCAAATCGGTCAAGAGATGACGGAACTATGAGCTAAAAGTTTATACTTGAAAAAACAAAAAATAACAAACAAACTCAGAGCAGTTCTATGAGCCGCTATGTCGCGGCTATAAACACTTTTAATAACAAGGGAGTGTTATTATTAGGAATTCAAAATAACCATCCACATTCAAGAAAGCGTCGTCGACGTGGCAAAGCAGTCAGAACAGAAGTATGAAAATTAACAAAGCTCAGAGCTTTGAAAAATATATGCGTATTCGTAAATAAATCTTTGCCCACCAAGTTTGCATTTTAGAAGGTTTTAATGATCTTATCTATAAAGTAACTTATATAATTGATATTTCAAGTAATACTTTGAATGTTGTAATTCAGTTGTCCTAACGAGTCTTAGCACTGAGTGAAAAAACTCATTGATTTTGGTCTAAAACAAACAAAGTGGAATATATATATATGCCACTATGTTCTCTTGGTACAGGAAAATAATACGCTTTGGTCACGTCAAAAATCATACGATTACTATTATGTTAAGTTGAATATTCGAAAGTTGTTGTGACGGCTTAGTTGCTAGTATTTTCAGGCAACGCATTACTTATCAATTTGAGACTTCCTTGTTTTATATTATCCTCACCTGCTTCCATAAGCCCAAAAGTCATACCATTCAAACACGGCCCTCATTGGTACGTTGCTGAGGATGCACCAAATAGTTGTAATCGTGACCGTAATGACGAGCTTGATTAGATGGCTAATATGGGTGAAAGTCGTTAGGCCTAGGTACATAGTCACGCAATAGTAGATCAAGTACTGAGGAAAACCATCACGTTGGTCAATGGTGATTTCTTCAGCTTGTAAACTTAGTTCTGAATAATTCTGATAGAACTCTGGCCAAGACAAAGCTCTTCGTATCTGTTTTTCAAGAATAAAGAAAATTATTATAAATACTTTGTGTACATTGAACTACAGAACATGAAACGTGAATAGCATTACCAGTCTACGAAGTACGACAAATAGGTTCATGTAGTCCTAACTAAAACATTATCGTTGGTTCTTAACGTGTAAAATAATGTATGTTATTCGTATAGAACGTTTATTTACTTTGTAATTTCGAAAGTTGTGAAAAACTTACTTTTGTATTCTAACAACTGCGAATTTCTTCCACTTGAGGTGGAACGAAAGTTTTGTGGAACGCACAGCGGCAGGGCCACTTCTAGCCTAACGAGGCAGTGACCAACATTTGATGCCTCATTTGTTGCATTTCGAAGCAATAAAAATACACATTAGCAACTCACTAAACAAAATAAAAGTTTCGGTCCAATTTTAATATATTGACGTTTTTAAGGTTTTTTTATTGTAATTACAAGACAATTTTATTGGTTAATTAGTAATCAGAAGTAAATAAGAAATAGTTAAAAAAGATCGATTTCTAGGTGCGATGTTGCGCTTCAACGAAACGAAAACACCACTATTTTTTATTTATTTAAAACCAAAATCTGTATTTAATCATGAAATCAAACTTATGCAAAAATTTGTGTTAAATTTGAAAAGTTTCCAATATAATCTTTCGGCATTTTACGTGAGTCTTTCTCATATAGAAATAGGTTTCAGTTTTTTGTTTTTTCATAATGGAACCTATTTTCGCAAAGAAGTACATTACATAGAGCTTAAAGAGAAGTGGTTGTAAAAGTGTAAATATACGACACCTATGATTCTTATTTTTTGTGTGAAAATTAAAATGAGAATTGTGACCTAGTAAGACTACTATTGCGTGAATAAAATAAATTGAAGATGAGAGACGATCTTAAGAAATATCAAGGGACTGGAGTGAATTATTAAATTATATAAAAAAAGTAAAGAAGCTATTTAAAAATTCATGTTTTAGGATAATCTAAAAGGTGTTAGATATCGTTGAATTTTAAGAAAGTCTTGAAATAATTTATACACAGTTTAAGAACACCTCACTTATTCATAATAGTAAGAAATAAATGAAAATTAGTCAATCAAACCAGCGTTTCCCAAACTTTTGTCAACCACGCCCCATTTTAATAAATATGGTTTCTTGTGCGCGCCCCTAATGAGTGAGTTAAGTGACGAAATATAACACACGGATACCCATTAAAATGCTATACTTCCAAAGTCTCACCAACGATAAAACAAGGTACATGACACGTGACATTCTCATCTGCTTTGTTAATTATTTTTAAACAGGTTTCATAAAGTTGAGTAATAAAACTATCAGAAATGTTCTAAATTGTTTTGAATTATTTAAACTATTACATGTTGTATTTACGAGGGGTATCAGAACAGTTCGATGGGATTGTGCGATTTTAGCGGTATATGCAGCAGCCGTGTACTATACCAGTTTATAATGTTTGATGTATATTTCATGCAATTGACGGATGGATGTAAAAATTATAATAAATAAAATTATTCAAAATAGATGGCGCTTATGTATGGTTTTTATGGTCTTACATATTACATGATCCTCTTATTCCAACAGTTAATAGAAATTATGCTGTAATATAATTTCGAATTTTAATTAAGGTGATTTACGAACTAAATTGTCTATTTTTATTTTATTATAAGTTTTATTAGTATCATTATAAAACTGACTAAGGTATGGATAACGAAAAGGTGTATTAATCAATTAATAGTTCAAACCTAAAATAACTGTATTCAGGTTCTAAGTTAACATGACAACAAAATGAATCACACAAGGTACAGTTGAGTGACTTCAAGGAAGGTAAAATTTAGTGACTTCACGCAAGGTACAGTTGAGTAGTTTTAAACAAGGAAAAGTTTTGTGACTTCGTCAGTTTTATTTTCCCATTATTGTACGCTATAAATCAGAAAGAGATATTAAGCCTCACTATGTGCGGTGTTAGTTACTTAGGAATATCCAGACGTTTGAAATTTCACTGAAATATTTTAGATATATTAGATGCATGTGAGTACAGATAGGATATATAAATATATATATCAAATAAGCTACATTTATTTGGAAACTTCTATTTACTTTTAAGCTTTCTTTACACTTTCAATTTGTCACTTTCTCCAAAATATTCGCCAAAAACAACTGCTTACCGTTTTCAAAGTTTGGAGACCTATCCACACCGTAACTAGGGCAAAAAGAGAGAGAATCCGCACCCAAGGCCTTAATTCAGCTGCTCGGAAAAATACCGACTCAAACTTTGGTAAAGATAGTGTATAAGACTGAAAAAAAAAAAGCAAATGACATTTTAATGTTCTACTTTGGCCCAATGGCTGTTTACTCTGGAATGGAATGTTTAACATAAAAGATATGTAAAAACAGATGTCTGATTTTGGTTGAGTAAAGTTTGTTACTGCCATCGTTCTATTTGTTTCTGTTACGTTTGAGCTATTTATGAATTACAAAAACATATAAATTCTATCCATTTTTTTTCTAAGTAACTTCAAATTCTGTAAACAATATCAATGAGTGTTTTAGCAAAATATAAACGGATAATTTAGAGTTTGAGATGTATATTTTTATTGAACGTGGGCGACCTAATAACGAAATCATGCACGAGCTCCTACTTCACCGGATAATCATGCACGAGCTCCTACTTCACCGGATATATTTTTATTGTTATTAATTGAGTAAGCTATAATGGTTCCCAACGTTTTTCACCCCATGGACTGGTAAGATTTTTATAAAAAATATTTTTGTTTGTTTGTTGTTAAACTTAAGGCTACACAGTGGTTTAACAATGTTGTAGCCCCCGCTGTTATCGAAACCCGATTTCCAGCGTCATAAGCCCTTAGACTTAATCGCCGAGCACCACCAGGGGACTTGTTTGGTCGTATTTAAGCACAAATCTACATTTGTGCTATGCCCACCACGACTGTCGAAACCCGATTTTTAGCGTCATACAGAGGGCTTGTATAAAACCTTAGGCACCACTAAGAGTACATAAGCCTATAGTGATGTTTTCAAATTTAGCATATTCAAGAAAGTTTGAAGTAAATGCTGTAAGATAGCGAATTCTTTCTTTTTTTATTACGGTAATGTTTATCGTTCATTTATTATTCCTTCTATCGTTCAGTTTATCTATGAATTTCTAGTTACATTAAAACAATAACTCACCTTCTTAGTTGATCCCGTTTATTTTGAGTAAATATGTATGTATTATGAAACCGACACCAGTTTCCATAGCGGTGACGTACAGATATTATTAATGTAGCAAAAGATTATGTAAATTTATCATCACATGAGATGTACTCTTGTGACCTAACGGAGTGGATAAATACCCTGCCATAAGCTTCATACCCTGAGTCACGAGATAGTTAGTGAATTATTGATGTTTGTCACTCGATATTGTTATTAATACAGAAAAGTGATTTGGGAATATTGTGTTGTATTTTGGAATTAGTTTTTTCTTCTTCTTCTGGTTCTTTTTCTTGATTCCATTATTAGAAATAATTAATATTGATATTTATATTTTATTGTTCATTGATATTAGTATCAATTCGTGGTCAGGCATGTGTTTATTAGCTGTGTTTTTGGTAAGTGCTAAACTTTATTCTAAGTGTTGTTACAGTTTAATAATTTGTTGTTGAACCCTGGTTGTAGCAGCGTGTTACTTTAGACCATTACAACGTTATATGGCCTATTTATTTTACAACGAACTAAGAAGGAAACAACCCTTTTCATCTTTTCTTAACGCAACTAAAAATTGTAATTTTCGTGAAAATCGAATCTTTCACAATAGCTTTTCGTTATTGTATCTATTTCAAACGTGCCCCGTCCCACCAAACATGCTCGCCCTTTCAGCCGTGGGGGCGTTATAATGTGACGGTCAATCCCACTATTCGTTGGTAAAAGAGTAGCCCAAGAGTTGGCGGTGGGTGGTGATGACTAGCTGCCTTCCCTCTAGTCTTACACTGCTAAATTAGGGACGGTTAGCGCAGATAGCCCTCGCGTAGCTTCAAAAAACAAACAAACAAACAAACTTAACTACGTTGTCGGCCGCAAGTCCAATAATAAACCTAGATTAGCCCTAATTCCATATAAAAGTTATCAATTTAAAAAATATATATATTAGTAATAAAGATAATAAAACCATATATATTACACATTCTAACCAATATTTTTAATGAAAGTTGCATTAAAGAAATGACAGAGTATACCTCAATTAGGGAAGACACAAATACTTATCCTTAGTTTCAAGTACTGTTGAAAATGTAATGTTTTTTTTTTTTAACAGCGTAACATCCGTACGACCGTGTTGAAGCAAAACTCTCCACAGTCCTCCCTAAAAACCTTTTGTGACAAGTGAAAAGCTATTAAACAGCTTTGATATGTAACTTTAGAGGGGCGTGACATGTTAGATAAATTGACACGTGTTATTGGTTAGGTGTAAAGTGAAGCAGAAGGATGGTAATAATTGTACAGCCAAAAATTGATATTTATGAAAATACAAAATAATAAATAATAAGAAATTTAAGTAATTAGCAAAAAATAATGGTATAATATCATCTTAAACAATTTTTTAAGAAATGAAAGTGCAGATGTGAAAGGTTTTAAAAGGTCGTGGTATTCTGCAAAAAATAAAAATAAAATGTTAAACCAATAATTAGTGGAAAGAATGCTGTAGAATTTCCAGAAAAATTGAATTACTTTTGAGTTCAAAGTGCGATAGTTTACGAGCTCTGTCCACCAAATCTTGTCATGTATAAAAAAAAATATATATATAGTGTCTAATAACCTGTGAATAGTAAAAAAAAAATTGTAAAATATTTTTTTATAATGTTTGTAATTTGAAACGGAGTGTTTTTAACTTGACAGTTGAAAGTATTCGTTTTGTTCAGAACTTTTCAATTGAATTTTCGAATAATGATGCTGATATCTAAATCCAGGTGGTGTGCTTTGTTTTTTAATGAAATACCTTTTTTCTTTATTATAGTCTTTTTTTTATCCAAGATTTGTTGTGTACGAAATTCAAGCTCTAATAAATATAAAGCTGGAATTTGTGGGGTGAAATTACCTTCTTATACTTGTTGGAAGACATGTTAGCCGAATTATACAAATGTGTTTTGTAGTAAAAAAAAAATACCTGTAAGATTTTGTTTAATGTGAAACAATAGTAATTGTTCTAAGGGAAATTTTCATAGAAATATTCGTGTTTACTAACGCAAACTATTAATTTACCAAAATTATTAAAACATTTTGAAATTGTTGAAGAAAGACTTTATGCATTTATCAATAGGAAGACTAGTTAACATTTTACTACCATCAAAAGCTTCTATTCTTTTAGTCTCAAAGCCATTAACTTTCTCTTTACATTCGACGGAATTACTGGTGATAATGGATGAATTAATACCGATTCTTTAGCTGATAATATCACATTATTTGTTAAAAGCTCTTTACTGTACTTCAGACCATTACCTATTGTAATCGACAAATTCTTAGTCGTAGGATTTATAGGCTTAGGCAGTAAACCTGTATTTCTCTGGTGATTTACGCAGTTTGAGAATCCAAAATAATTTAGCTATTACATTATATAATATGAGAGAAGGTACTCTAAAGTTTGATAAAATTTTAATGTGTTGCTGCATGATACGATCTTTATCAAGTTTAGTGTGCTTGTATGCTTTATTACCCGGAGATTATAATGGCTTTAGATTAAACCCCTTTTCCTTACATAAAATTGTAATATACTTTTTTTTTTTGTCAAGAGAAAACAAAGTTGTTAGCTGCTTTATAGACAGGAGTAATGTATTAGCTACTGCGTAAATAATATAAATAATATATACATTTACGAATGTTATGCGTTCGTTGTTTATGTCCTTAACTCTGTTTAATCATTTTCTAAATAGATTTACTTTTAAGTTATTTTTATTCTGTTTAAGTGAAACTGTATTGACTGACATGCTAATAATTTGTGAGTTTCTAATCAATTTTAGGACTTTCCCTGAACTTAGAACCTTTGGTTATTAATGGTTGCAAATCTTCATTAGTTACGACCTCAAGGTTAGCAGTGAGTACGTGTTCAATGAGATTTATATATATTTAAATATGTTTAAAGAGATGATTCATATCCGCATTCTGAGGATAAAATGTCGTCTAACTCCTCAATGGTTATGTGAACTAACACGTTAATTAAGTATTTTGCTGCCGATAGCCCTTTCAAGAACACCTAATAGCTTGGTATTTAAGTTTGCACATGCTAGGTAATAATTGTTGTATAGAATAGTAGTATCTGACTACCATACTGTAATGTAACTAGTCATATACTTCTATCAGTAAATGGAATTATAAGGTGGAGCTTACTTTCATTAGCTGTTGAGGGTTTTAGGTTTAATTGATGACGAGTAGCAAGTAACAACTAGTCGAAATTACTTACCGAAACTAACGACATTTGTATTTGAATTTCATTAATAAAGGCAAGCTTATTAACCGATTGGGGCTCAGCATGGCCAGGTGGTTAGGGCACTCGGCTCGCAATCTGAGTGTCGCGGGTTCGAATCCCCGTCCCACCAAACATGCTCGCCCTTTCAGCCGTGGGGGCGTTATAATGTGACGGTCAATCGCACTATTCGTTGGTAAAAGAGTAGCCCCAGAGTTGGCGGTGGGTGGTGATGACTAGCTGCCTTCCCTCTAGTCTTACACTGCTAAATTAGGGACGGCTAGCGCAGATAGCCCTCTTGTAGCTTTGCGCGAAATTCAAAACAAACAAACAAACTTAACCGCTGGTTCTCGTAAAATAACGTATAAATTTCAGAGAACTTTAATTTCATAAACTTCTAGGAAATCTCGTAGTAAAAAATCTTGTGCTTTACCCTTACTTTTCATTGCTCAGTTTTTGTGCGTGGCCATAGTGTAACCGGTTTAAACAAAAACGATTATCTAAAAATTGGCAGCCTTGAGAAACATCGAATTCATTTATACCTCGATTATTAAGCTCAAATGGATAAACTGATAAATCTTCTATTTCCACAAGTATAACGAAAATTTTCAAAAGTGTATCCTGGATAGTTAAAGAATTGATAAAGTGTTTTGTTTTGTTTTTGTGATAGATCTACAACGAATATAGCAGTTGCTATCCTCATGGTACCCTTAACAATCTTGTGCAATGTCACTTTCCTCTAGCAATCGTTTGTGAGATATGATATTTTGAACTGAAAATCTTTCTTTATACTCATCGTATAGATTTAATTTTTAGTTTTCTATTCAAAATAGGTAACTTGGGCTAATCTAACGTTGTAACTTGCGCTAATCTAATGTTGTAACTTGCCTTAATCTAAAGTTAATATAAATAAGTAGTCTTCTCCTGTTGTTGATATTGTTGCATGGCCCGCTCCGAGATCAAGACCAACTTGTTGTTTATGCAACTGTTGTGTTTTATGAGTAAGCAAATATATAAGGTTAATGCCGGCTCGAGTGATGCCCGGTTAAACAAGGCACAGAAAGTTCATTCAGGTACTATGATGAATGTGAGAAATCTGCTTGCAGACCTCATTTGTAATAAGTATAGCTAGTTAAGTATACTCTTCTTACATTCTTACTTATAAAGACTAGAATCTAATGTTTCATCAACATCGTTACTGTTAACGATAATTTCGGCCGTAAACCCAATAATATACCAATCTCTATTATGAAGTAGAATGATAAAACTAGATATACTTAACATTATAGTCAGAACTGTTAGTAAAAGTAACATTAAAGCGATAATAGAGTTTACCTCATTTGCGGAACACACACAATTACTAATTTAGCAAGTGTAACATCAGTATGACAGTGTATAAGTAAACTTTTCACAATAGTTTATAAAAACGTCTTGTGACCAACTAAAACCCATTAAACTATTTCAATAGTGTAAGTTTAGAGGAGCGTGATGTCTGAGATAAATTGTTATGACGCATATTATTGTACATTCGAATAGAAAATCAGTACCAATAGTACAGGCAAAACGAATGTTTATAATAATACAAAATATAGATAATAAATTAATTATTGACTCATACAGCAAATGGCTAGAATATGGGTACTTTAATTAAAATACTTTATGTTAAATGTAATTAAAAAGAAAAAATATTAAAAGCACTATCAGGTGTAACTAACGCAACTAATTTGACTTTCAATAACTTCTGTCATTTAATAAGACATTTGAAATGGACAACATTAAGTAACAAGGATTGTTTGATTTATGAAGAAATAGGGCTGAGCTAACTTCTACCATTTTAACGTTTAGGCCTAACATTAGGCCTATAGTTGCTGGTGTTTCACTCCTAGATTATGTTTAATAAAATATATTCTGCCAAACATAAGTCTTCATAAATTTAGATGTTTAATTACGATCAAATACCAAGGCTCAACACCTAAAACGCTAATTATTCTCTTTCACAATTTTCATAACCATCTTTGCATTGGAATAGTTAAAACTGTATATCCAAAATGCTGGACTGCTACAGACTTGGCCAAAAAGTTTCAAATATCTTTCTTGCATAAAGATTCGTATTAGACTAATATTAAATACAATTTACTGAGGTAAATATTGCATATGTTATGTAATGTAAAAAGGTATTTGAGTCTAAATAATCCTTTTCAAACATTTTTAAATGCGCATTAGGCCAAGCTTTTATTATTTTATCAGAGATACTCCCATTATTTATCTTAGTAATGAAACAATTAATATGCATTTCATTTTAGAACAGAAACCATATATTTACAGTACATTCATACCTTCTAATTTTATTTATTCAACATGGTCTCGCCCTAAGTAAGACCTAAACTGACTCAGGTTGCCACTAAAATCTCTATAATTTCTTTTTAAGACCCCCTCCCCCATGTCGAGGTGTATTGTGGTTGAGATTCTTTTTTTTACTTTACTCTGTTTTTCTATGATACCCAACAGGTGGCCACAGGCAGAGGTACAAAATATGCAACTGTAACAACGAAGGATATGTTAGTTTTGAGGATGTTTCAGTTATGAGAGAAACCACATCAGTATGGATGATTTATAGATCATATTGTGCGTGTTCTCGAATGGTAGATTTAATGCTTTATTAGTGATTGATATATGAATGTGTTACTAGAATAGCCGTCACTGGAGCAATAGAACAAGACTTTGTGGCAATTGACTTTCTATGGCATAACATAAATTTGATTTTTTAAAACTTTTAAACTTAGATTGTTGGTTGTTTATGTTAATATTAAGACTATGTATTAATCCATTACTTTGGTTTTATAAACCCCTTTTGATACATATAGTGTTAGTCCCCTTGAGCCAATAACCCCACCCCCCCCCCTTTCTAAACATAAAAAACAATTATACTATATCCAGGTGCACTGATGGATGTCATCTTGTCAGGATTTGGATGGAGCACCTTGGATAAGAAGCATACAAATTGTAGATTGACCAACTAGAAATACTAATATAATTCCCAGTGAACACACGTAGGTCCTCCATGGATGCTATTTACATATTCCTTTTCATCCTATACGCCACAGTCAAAAAGATTTGCATTGCACTACATGAATAATGAGAAATAATCCGCCATAATATGGCTCGCTAGTTAAATTTCTGAAGTGCAGATTACTTCAGTGTGAGGAAGGCATATATTCCTTAAATATGCTTCTGTTAGATAAATAATTCACAGATTCACAAAATCTAACAGGGATGAATTTAAGGGCACTAGTTTTAATGGGTGATATTCTGTTAATGAAGCTGACTTATTGGCTGTATTCACCGAGAAAAGGGTAATCTTTATATATATACTTTAGTCTCAGTTTTGTTCAAAAATTGAAAGAAAACCAATTTAATTCAACAAATACCTTAGTTTTGAATTCCTGAAATTGCTAATTTGTCTGTTCCTCTTTCTACAAGTCGTTGTATTATAGGCTTATTATTATTTCAGGAGGGGTTTTAATGCCTTATATTAGACTTCATTAAAAATGTTAATCCTCCAAGTAATTTATTTTTTCTTCGGGTAATTATCTCTTGAACAAATTTCTTTGAACTGTGTAGTGTGATTAAAAATAAAAAGAATAAAGAGAGAGAGAAAGAAA